TGTAATAGGTAGCCCTTATATAATGTAATAGGTATCGTTTATATAATGTAATAGGTAATGGTTATATTGTAAAGTGTCTATCCTTTTTATAAAAGTGTCCATACTTTTTTCACTGTGGAAAACATTAATTTAAGGTTATCTTTTGAGTGAGTTTTAAGATATTAATTTAGTAATTATAGGCGTCTAATGATTTATTTTTTACGTTACGGTATATATTATTATTAAATTAAAAATTCTAAATAATATTTTATAAAATATCAAAACAATCAAATAATTTTTTGTGCAAATGAAATTATTAAATCAATATTGTAGGTGGAAAACATGAAACACTGTTAAAAAAATTGAAACATAAATTACATAAGTTTTAAAAAAAGTATCGATCCTTTTATAAAAAGTATGGACACTTTCAATATAATAGGTAAACATATGATGTAATAGGTAGCCCTTATATAATGTAATAGGTATCGTTTATATAATGTAATAGGTAATGGTTATATTGTAAAGTGTCTATCCTTTTTATAAAAGTGTCCATACTTTTTTCACTGTGGAAAACATTAATTTAAGGTTATCTTTTGAGTGAGTTTTAAGATATTAATTTAGTAATTATAGGCGTCTAATGATTTATTTTTTACGTTACGGTATATATTATTATTAAATTAAAAATTCTAAATAATATTTTATAAAATATCAAAACAATCAAATAATTTTTTGTGCAAATGAAATTATTAAATCAATATTGTAGGTGGAAAACATGAAACACTGTTAAAGTATCGATCCTTTTTATAAAAAGTATGGACACTTTCAATATAATATAATGTAATAGGTAAATTTGCAATGCTATCGGTATAAATATACTGGTTTACTTATAAAATAGGTAAATATAAGCGCTACCTATTACATTATATAAGCGCTACCTAGTATGTTATTGTACTTTATAATATTTCCGGTTAAATAATATAACATAACCGGTCTAAATTTTAACCGGTCACTTGTTTAACCGGTCACGCCGTATATTAGCCGTTTTTTAGGCGCCGCACCGCAGAACGACCCGAAAATGACCCAATTATGAAAATGAAAATAGCTCCTATAAAGCCATCTCGTACAATTCATGAGGAAGAGTTAAAAGTGAAATGTGAATGCGAAAACCAAAAGAACTTGAAGAAAATTACCCAAGCAGAAGCGCGTGTAAGAAAAAGAAAACCTCATATCCTGTTTGGCTATAAAATGCACAGTACAGAGGGCCGAAGAGATAAAATCATTTTTTTATGATAAAAGTATTGCTGGAATTGGAAGTACAGCAGAATGAGGCATCTGACCGCGCGTGCCGTCCGGTGCGCGGGAACTTTAGGAATGCAATGCTGACAACAAGGAAGGGGGCTGCCCTTTGCCATCTCTTTTTTTCATCTGATTGGAAAGGATGGGCAGCATTTATAATGGGTAAAAAAATTTAAATTCATATTCGTCCACGTAGATATATTCTTAAATTTATCCCCACACCCACTACATAACTGGAGACGTATCCGGCTAAACTCATCTAATAGTAATCTTACGTTACACATAAGCAACAAACATAAAACAAAAACGTCAATTAAGAACATAATAAAATAAACCAAGGATTATCTGAGTTAAGTGTTAACATAGATCTTAAAGTACATAAAACACCATAATAAAAAATATATAATTAAAGCCTAGAAACATAAATGACAAACACATAATATTTTTGTTCTTTGGCACAATATTCTCAAATTTCAGTCAATATTTATCCATAATATTTGGTTAAATTATAAGTTATATCTTATACAATATTAAGATTTATAAACGAGTCTCTAAAATTATACCTAAATTCATAATGATCTAAAATTTAATGGGTATTTAGTGGGCGGATGTGGGGCGGACGGATGCGGGGCGGGTAAGATCTCAAACCCATCACTTGCCCACTACCATCGATGGGTACTACTTTCTAAATCCACACCCACCCACTACCCACTAAAGTTATACCCATCTCCGCCCCAATTGAAACGAGTACGATACATAATCCACAAAATTGTATCATTTTGCCATCCCTAACAACGAACAACGATGGGAGCTTATGATCCATTTTAGGAGTGCCCGTTCCATTGGATTGAGTTAAAAAAATTGAGTTATTTAAGTTAACAAAATTTATTTTATTAAAAATAAATTGAATTATTTGAGTTTATATTGAATTTAATTAAAATTATTTATAATATTATATTACTAATTGATTCAATTTTAATCAGTTTCTATATATAAATATAATATACTAATTATCAAAATTTCAAGTTATTTGAATATTATTTCAATTTATTATTTTTCATGTGTAGATTCGGGCATAATTTTGGGAAGTCTGGGCAATACGGGTAGATAATGTGGTCGCCGTCAATGTTCTGGGGGGCAGCCTTCGCTCGATACACGGGCTTAATATATTCTAGACTATACGATTTAAATTATCTAGAAATATTGATAATAATTTAGGATTAATACTAAAATAGTCTCGATACGACCGTTATAAAACCTTGTTAAGTAACACATGTCATAATCTTAAAATTTTAAATTTTTTTATTTTTCTTAAAAATAAAAATATTATTTAAAAAAATCCAACCCGCGTGCATTTCCCCCTCTCATTTCGTGATTTCAGTTTCTATGGCCAAACGACCAAAATTCAAATGGTCGACTAAACGACCGACCAAATGGCCAAGGGGCCGGTTGTCACATTTGGATAAAGAGTCAAGTTACATAATGATCATCCGACTAAAAGACATTACTTTGTTGAGTCTATCGATTATTTAAAATTAGAAAATAGTCACCCAACTATTCATTATGGTCTACTCTAAACTCATCATTTTTCTTTAAAAAAGATAACGAAAGTCTAAGTCGGATTTTAATCTGCTGTTTAAGATGTGATAGTTGTTTGAGATTCTGAGATCAGATTTTATCATATCTCATACAACAAATTAGCATCTAGCTCAGACTGTCATAAATTATTTAATGGAAAAGTCGACTTTAGAACATAAAAAATAGTCGAATAATTAGTTTATAACTTTTAATAATCAGATGACTAAACAAATTAATGTCTTAGGATTAATATGCTAATATGATAAAAGGGATAAATTTGTTAACATGAGACGGTTCTTTTTCTCTCTCTGAAACGACAGCTCTTTCATTCATTGGCACCGACTCAACATGGTGGTTGTAATTATAAGCAAATCGAATGACCCACTCGGGGGGTGAAATTTAACTTATTGGTGATCCATTTCCAACTAATTGAACACATCTTCTCTCTGGCTTGCTCCATGAGCCAATTTGATGACCCACATGATTGGAAAACTCCCTTATAGACTGTACCAAGTATAACACAAAGCTGCTGGTGTTGGTGCCAAAGGACAACTTCCATAATGCAACCTTTTGTTTTTATCGATTCAAAGAGCTATATATTAAATGCTATATAAAGAAGATAAGGATGGGGAATTTCTTGAAAGGAGAAAGATGGATGGTTCTTAAAACCAATACATTCACCCTAGGGGCCCTATAACCAGCACTTAAAATAAATCGAACTGGTCGTCCATGATCACTCCTATGGAGGATTCAAACCTGACAGGAAAAAAAGCTGAATAAGGAACAAGATCTTTGCCCCTAGAACTACTATAGATCATGTCTCTTTACACAAAGCTGTCATGTGGGTCGATTCTTAGTGGAGCTCTGCAACTTTTAAAATAATAATAATAATAATAAAAAACGAATGTGTTGGAGCAGGACGAAGTGATTTGGCAGATGAGAGAGTTTCTCCACTAACGTGTTGAACAGGGGGCCTCATGTTTATTCAAATATTTCAGTTACCAAGACAAGATTTGGTTCCCATATGAAACTTGGGTTTTGTTTTTTTCTTCTTAATTACATTTGAGGTTGTGTCATGTGTGATTATATGCCAATCTTAACAGAGATCTTCATTGAAGATCCCGAATAATGTTGGGGAAAAGGAAAGATGGAGGAATGTTTGATTTTTTTAGCCTGGAATGGTGGTCGAGAAGAATATAAATGGCTTTAGCAACATTGGAAATGGAGGTGACACTGGTTTTGGTGCAGGGGATAATATTTAGATTCCGATCCGATTATAGAAGCTTTTCAGCTTTATCTGGGGCTATCACAAGAAATCTAACGTTCAAACTAGTGTGCAATTTCTCTCTCCTCATGTTGTTCATTGTGGAGCAATTCAATGAATCTGCGGATTTGTCTTTTGGGGGTAATTCATTTCCCGGACCAGACATGTAACATCAGCGTATCAACAATTCTGGGGTAGACTTGGAATTCGCAGATGACTAATGAAGATACATAACCGACGATGACACGTTTTACTTGAATTTATTCACAAAATATGTTTGAATCTTTGAATTTAATAAGTGGTTTTAACTATACATGGATACAGATATTGAATAGATATATCTGAAGTTAATTCAACACGTTAATCGCATCTTTTTCAATTGATGTTTTCAACCTGTTTTTTTTTTTCGTCTTAAGCGACCACACACGAAGACGACGGGGGTCGTATGATGTATGACAATGGAAAGATACTGTTAAAGATTTGATTGAAAACAAAATGATTAGCTCTTGATTATTGCGTGATTAAATTTGCTTACTCTTTCAAAATTTAATTACACAATTATCTTTGTATTTGATTTAATCATTAGTATAAGATCTAGTGATTGACTAATCCAGATCAGATACTGCAGAAGTGAAAACGATTCTTCCAACTCAGTTTGTTCCATTCACAAACGTCAGGGTTCAAATCCTTAACATTGCTTAAAGAATCTAGTGTCTCACAAAAACAAAAGGAATAACAGCTATCAAGTTTTTCTGACTGGATGAACCCTAATGCTACCGCTCTCTGATTCTCTTAACTCAAAAAAACCTTGTCGCCGGGATGATGAGCCGCCTAATCCCGGCACCCACCTGCCTAGTCGAATGGACCTCGACAAGTCAATTCCATGCCCTCCGACTTCGCCCCCTCCCATGTCTCGTTCAAAGACACCCTTATTGGTGGTGACAATTTGATTCCGCCTATTGATGAAGAGATTTTCGAAGATGATGATATCGATATAGTTGATGGTGATGTTAAACGGGGTAATGTCAATGGCTTAATTTCAATTCATTTCTCTGATTGGGTCATCGAATTAGCGAACAAAAGTTTTGATCAAACTATTGTGATCAAACTTCTTGGCAAAAAAATCAGTTACACTGCGCTTTGCAATCGTCTTTACAACTTGTGGAAGCCATCGCAACCCTTTCGCCTCATGGACATTGATAATGATTATTTTTTGATCTCACTCCGCACTCACTCTGATTATTTGAAAGTCCTTGTTGATGGTCATTGGATGATTTTCGGACACTACCTAACGTTTGAACCTTGGTCCCTAGAGTTCTTTACCACCCATCCTTTCCCACGCCGGATAGTTGCTTGGATTCTCCTACCAAACCTGCCAGTTACGCTATATAAACGGAGTCTTATCAATGAAATCGGAGAGTGTATTGTTCCAGTTCTGAAAATTGACTACCACACTGAAAATGGTCGACGTGGTAGATTCGCCAGGATAACCATCAATATCGATCAGACGCGCCACCTCATCTCTAAACTCATCGTCAATGAGAATATACAAATAGTAGAATATGAAGCCTTACCGATCGTTTGCTTTCAGTGTGGACGTTACAACCACATTAAGGATTTCTGTCCTGAAAATTGATCGGATGCCCCAAGTGAACCATCTCCTGCAATCGCACCTGTTGAACCACCCCAACTTGTTCAACAACAAGAATCCATGTTAGGTCCTTGGATGGTAGTTGAACGGCGCCAACGACGAACTCTTAAGCAGGGTGCAACTCCTAAAAATATTGTAACTGAAACTCCAAGTCAATGATCCCGATTTGCAACTCTCGATACCCCTCAGAGGAGACCCTGACGAGCGATAATGATGGTACGGTCTCAGCTCCCATCCATGTGACTTCTCAGGCTGTACCCCTGACCTCCCAGCCGAGCATGCCTAAAAAAGATCCCAAAATTTCGCGTGGTAAAGCTATGCTACCGGGTACGTAAACCCCTCGCTATCTCTAGTTCTAACTCCTAGATTCAAAAGACGAGAACATCACCTTCCATTGTTGGTCAAAGTAGTTATAACTCTCGGAATGCTGACCCTTCTCGTCACTTCGACACGTCCCAAAAATTAACCATTCTGGACCACACCAAGCACTCTGCTTGCGGATCTCCGAGAAATCTGATCCCAACATTTCCAATGTACTGTTTGCTTTGGGTCATGTCCCACCAACAGCACTCACAAAACTGCCTAATCCTGGTCCCACTATTGTCTTGGTCCAAGTAACCGATGTCTCTACTACTGCCACTATCAATCATGTTCAAACACCATCCCAAGTGACTCTTCCAAATGTCCAGTTCGGTTTGCATGCGCCAGATAATCGCGACCACGTGGTTTCCATGTTGGAATAATTGAGGTAACCCTCTTACACTCAATATTTTCTTATGAATTTTAATTTTTTTTGTTAGAATGTTCAGGGTTGTGGACACCCGAAGTTTGTGCAAACTATTTGACAGTATCTCGGCGATCATAAACTTGATGTTGTGGCTTTTATCAAACCTCATGTAAATGGCTCTAAGGCCGATATGGTGATTTGGTCTATTGGTTTTCCTTTCTCCCACCGGATTGAAGCTGCAGGATTTTCTGGCAAAATTTGGATATATTGGTTTGACACTGTTCATGTGGACGTCATCTCCAACCATTTCAATTTGTTCACTGCAGGATCACTTCTATAAAATATCACACTTCATTCTTGGCAACTATTGTCTATGCCAGTCATTGCTTTACAAAGAGAAAATGTCTTTGTCCTCATCTGCGCCATCTTACTTCCTCGATTTCTAGTCCTTGGATTATTCTTGGCGACTTTAACGCAACCCTCAGTCACTCGGATAGATCAGGCGGTGCTACCAATTCTCGGCCAAGCTTGGACTTCCAACTCTATCTCTATAATTTTGGTCTTCGTGATATGGGGTTCTAAGGTCTGGCTTTTACGTGGTCAATAGGCTATACTTCGGTTCGTCTTGACCGAGTAATTTGTAATTTCTCCTAGGATGATTCCTTCCAAGACGCAATGGTTTTTCATCTTCTCCGTATGTGATCCGATCACCGTCTGCTCCTTCTCAGTGTTGGTATTTCTTCATCTTTCCCCAAAAACTCCCAGTTCCGTTATTTTTTAGGTTAGCTATCCCATGTGGTATTTTCTTGTATTATCGGAGATAATTGGCAAGCCTATGACTCTTTAGCCAACGCAATATCGGATTTTACTAAAGTTGCTGATCTTTGGAATAAAACAGTCTTTGGCTACTTAGGATCTAAAAAGAAGATTGTTATGGCCTGTATTCGTGGCGTTCAAAGGGCCCTTGCCAATCGTCAGACGCATTATCTCATCGACCTTGAGTATAATATGTTGTTAGAGCTTGAGCAAATACTTGACCTTGAAGAAACTCTTTGGAAGCAACGTTCCCGGGTAGATTGGATCTCTTTTGGTGATCAGAATATAAAAGATTTTCACCGCAGAGCCATGCAGTGCAAGTGACATAATAAAATTTATGCTCTTAAGGTTTCTATTGATACTTGGTGTTATGATGAACTACCCTCCGTGATGAAGTTGTTCATTTTTTTCATAACCTGTATTTGGTTGAGTACCCTGTAATAGGATGCTTTCCTTTTTCTGGATTATTTCCGACTATTTCTGTTGAAGAGTTGTCCTCGCTTAATACCATTCCCTACCCATTGGAAATTCATGTTGCCCTTTGTGATATGTCACCGCTAAAAGCATCGGGTCATGATGGCCTCCATGTTGAATTTTTTCAGCCTCAGTGGTTGATTATTGGGAATGTGGTGTGTAACATGGTCCAGTCAGTGTTTGCAAGGGATGAAATTGAATCCTCCATTAACAAAACGACCATCGTTCTTATCCCCAAAAAGAATGCGCATGAGTCATTTTCTGATTTTCGTCCAATCAGCCTTTGCACTACTGTCTATAAGTTTATCACTTAAGTTTTTGTCTGCCGGTTTAATTATATCATGCCTCTTCTTGTCGCCCCAAATCAAACTAGTTTCATCCATTGGCGATCAATCTCCGAAAATGTTATTATTAACCAGGAAGTCATCCATATAATGTGTTTATGCAAAAAGAACGATTAGATGGTCATGAAAGACGACATTGAAAAAGTGTTTGATAGGATCCGTTAGGATTTCATTCTAGATACCTTCACTGATGCATGCTTCCCGACAAACTTTATTAATCTGATTATGACTTGTATCACCGCTTCCTCTATTCAAGTTTAATAGAATGGTGCTCCATCGCAATCTTTCACCCCATAACGTGGTATTCAGTAAGGTGACCCGCTTTCTCCATACCTCTTTGTTCTTGCTATAGAGCGACTTGGGCATCAGATTTCAGAAGTAGTTACCAATGGTACATGGGTTCCATTTCACTTTCGTCAGAATGGTTTACATGTCTCTCATTTGTTTTTTGCGAACGATCAGATTCTCTATGCTCATGTCGATGTTCATCAGGCCACCATTGTTGAGGCTATTCTCTCAGAGTTTAGATATTACTCAGGACACAAGGTTAGCTAATCTAAGAAACTTCTTTATTTTTCACTGAACACTGAGACAAGCATCCAATGTTCAATTTCTTCCAGATTAGGATTTCGGGTTATAGACTCCATTGGAAAATATCTTGGGGTACATGTTTTCCATAAGTGACCCACTTATTCGGATTACTCTTTCATTTTGGACATGTTAAATAAAAAACTCTGTGGTTGGGCAGCTCGAACTCTTTTTATGGTTGGCTGCATGACTCTCGCTAAGGCTATCCTTGGAGCAATCCCGATATATTTCATGTAAACTTTGGTCCTTCTGAAGCGTGTCTCCAATGACATTGAAAAATGTATTAGGCAGTTTATTTAGGGCTCTTATAATACCGGGAATAAGATCTCTTTGATTAATTGGGAAACACTTTCTTAACCACGTGAGCGATGAGTTGGCGTTATTCGTGCCCATGAACATTATATGGTTTTTTTTCATGAAAAATGAGTATGCAATGTTAACTAATACATGCTCTTTTCGGATTTGGGCTTTACGATATAAATATAATGTAACCGAGCCATGTCCCATCTCGATCTCGCTTCAATTTTGTTTCCCCATGTGGAGTGGTCTCTCCAATGTCTGGAATTCTCTCTTACCGTGTCTATTCTGGTCTCTCGGAAATGGTCCTACGGTTATATTCTGGGACTATGTTTGGGTCCCTTCCATTGGTGCGTTGAGGCCTCATGCAATAACTCAGAATTTGGTTGATGATCTTGAGTGTTTCTGTCTTTACGCTCCCGAATAGAGCATGGAATGAAGAAGCCTTATCCTCTTTGGTGACACCTTATGCTTTAAATCATATACTCGATATGAAGGCTCATTCTGCAAATGACATTGATGATGATATCACATGGAGATGCTCTCATGACTATGCCTTTAATCTCAAAACAACGTATGCCACTTTATGTGATCGGAACTGTAATACCCATAGCTCGTATACGTCTTATAATACGAGTTAATGATGTCACATTAATTCGACAGACATTTGCTGAGCCTAAATGCTTAAAAAATTTTATTTCGGTTTAAAATATTCTTTTTTATCAATTAAAAATCTTTTTCCATTAGTATGCATAGTCATAACATAATAATTTATCGTTCTAAACAAAGTTAATTTTATACAGCAATTAGGCAGTTTTATGCTATTTCATATCTATATACAACTGCCTAATGTTGCTTGTTTTAAACATATTTAAAACCATTCATAATATTCATTCATAAATAAGATTATAACTGAAATTAACCAAACAATAAAACAATTCTCGATTGCTATTTCAAACCCTTTTTTAATATAAATCTGATAAAACAACGCAATGGATATAATGTATATGCCATTAATAAGTCAAGTTGGGATGTCTTACAGATATTGTCGGTAGGTTTGATTTTCACAAGATGCTGGCATGCTCCTCACTTCACTTTCTTTTCTTTACTCGTGAAAATCATCACACGCTAAGTAAACTTCGTGAGGCAATAACATAGCTAAAATGAGATAAAACATAAGATTTCGTAAAACATTATAAACATAAGTCTAAAATTGAAATAAAAGTTTAAAACTTTCAAACCAGACTATTCATGTTATTTCCTCTTGAAAACCTGAAAATCATCATCTCATGATTTTATCAAAAATCATGTAAATCGTCATTAAATATAAAAAACAACATAATATTCTTTTCATTCAGACTTATTTTTTCATTTAAACATATTTCAGAACTTTCACTTCGATTCTATATTGCATTCTTTCATACTTCTGTCATACTTTCACATTTACTGTTATAGCCCAATGTATATGTAAGAGAATACAATGTACGTAAGTCAAACGAGTGTTATCATATCGGAATCATAATATGCACACAAAGTTCAATCACATCTGAAAATATACTAGTGTACTCACTGGTAACACTACATTATATCACATCAGAAATGAGCATACATAGTGCAATTACATCAGAATCAGAATATGCACAAAGTGCAAGCACATCAATATATATATATATATATATATATATATATATATATATATACTAGTGCACCCACCGGTACACCACAATATATCAAAATCG